TCCTCGTCGTTGCGGATGGCCAGCTGCAGGTGGCGCGGGATGATGCGCGTCTTCTTGTTGTCGCGGGCCGCGTTGCCCGCCAGCTCCAGGATCTCCGCCGTCAGGTACTCCAGCACCGCCGCCAGGTATACCGGAGCGCCGGCCCCAACCCGCTCGGCATAGTTGCCTTTGCGGAGCAGGCGGTGCACACGGCCCACGGGGAACTGGAGTCCAGCGCGAGAAGACCGAGTCTTAGCCTTGGCGCGAGCCTTGCCGCCTTGTTTTCCGCGTCCAGACATAGTGCACTTGCTAAACTCACAAGTAGCTGAGGCGAACGTGTAACAGTAGCACTTTTTATAACCCTTGTTGGGCGCGAAAAAGAAGACGTGTCATTGGTCAAGAGTGCAACTTCATCTTAACCAATGGAAATGCGACGTTGGACTTCGCTTATTCTGATTGGGCAAAAGTACATTATGATGTCACCCTAAATAACTACCAATCAAGCACAGGACTTTAACTCTTCTCTTTATTTGCATAAAGCTTTCTATATAAGGACGACAGGGCTGGTACTTCCCTCACTTTTTTCTCTTGCTCGCGAGTGTTTATCGGCTCATCCGGTCATGCCTGAACCAGCGAAGTCCGCGCCGGCCCCAAAGAAGGGCTCCAAGAAGGCGGTGACCAAAGCGCAGAAGAAGGATGGCAAGAAGCGTAAGCGAAGTCGCAAGGAGAGTTACTCCATTTATGTATACAAAGTGCTGAAGCAGGTCCACCCTGACACCGGCATCTCGTCCAAGGCCATGGGCATCATGAACTCATTTGTCAACGACATTTTCGAGCGCATCGCTGGTGAGGCGTCTCGCCTGGCGCATTACAACAAGCGCTCAACCATCACGTCTAGGGAGATCCAGACGGCCGTGCGTCTACTGCTGCCCGGGGAGCTGGCCAAGCACGCCGTGTCCGAGGGCACCAAGGCCGTCACCAAGTACACCAGCGCCAAGTAAACAGTAAGTTGTAAACTCAACATAAACTAAACGGCTCTTTTAAGAGCCACTCATATCCTCAATGAGAGAGTTGGCGCTTGTTTTTCTTCGGCCCTTACTAACAGCTCGCCCTTATCAGGTGCTTGGTACCGCTTGTAATTCAGTTAGGAAAATATTCTTTCGAGGCAAGATTACTCGTTCCAGTTTTGCGTAGTCTAGTTGAGTAACCACTGGGCAAAGTTTAGGATCTTTTTTGTCAAGACAGGGATGAAACGACCAAAAACGTGACTTTACTCTGACAAAATTTAGAAACTGTAGTGTAAAGTAACGATGCCCTGAGCTTCTCTTTGTCATTTAAGAACTTCCTATATTTGAAATGTAGTCTGTCCACAGTTCTGCTACCCGTTGGGGTTAAGTAACGAACTAGAAGAGAAACTTTAAGTTTGAAGCAAGTTCATACTACAGGATCCCTTTCCGAGTTAATGAGTTGGACTCACGCCCCGACTCAGGTTGCGCGGGCAATTTGAATTTGTTGGGGGAATTGCCCGCCCTTCCTTCCCGCGTCCTGATTGGTCAGCAGCATTCAGGACCAGAGCCGGACAGTACGCGTGCGCGAAAGGATTCCAGCCCCTGGGGCCCTCAGCCCGGCACTCGTGCTCTTTGGGTAAACAATGTCGGTTAGTGGATTGTTTTTCATTCTTCCCTTTAGGATATCAGTCCTTTCGAGAATAAGATTTATTATTTTCTCGAAATTTGAGTTGAAGAGAAAGGATTTTGAGGAATGTTATTTTCAGTCTGAGAGGGATCAATGTTGTTTCTAGTTAGGAAATTTTTGCCTTTACCGTATATCCATATAACAAAACATTACACGAGGAAACAAGACTTTGGGGCGTAATGAAGGCAGAAAAATGTGAGAGCATTTATCCCAGACTCTTCTGAAACTGAAATTAATCTATTTTAAAACTTTTTTGCTTGGTATTTTAAATTCTGTTTCTGACCATGCCTGGAACCGCTGACGAAAAGGAAGTTCTAAATCATTCAGGTTGACATAAACGAGACCCAACCACCCAACAAATGATGATGTTTTTCTGGATGATAATTATTAAACATTATATGCTTCAGATAATAAAAAGCCAAGGTCTGTGAAGGGTTATGGCTGAGTTTTCGTTTTGGTAATTTAAAATAAATTATTGCCTAACGTATCTAAAATGGATCCAATTTGGTACAGTAATAATGTCTCAAACTATTAGCACTTTGTTAAATTATTTCCCCCTTTTCGATTCAAATCCTACACGTCTTTCTTTCAAGGCCCACTGTCATCCTACTGGCTCTTCTGAAATTTCTTTCCTTTTTTAAGCCGCTGCATCTAACAGCTTGTTTAGCATTTGGAAACTGCTTCCGCGTGGTTTCTTCTATATCTCTACTTGTATCGTTCTCTGTCTGGTTGTAAATACAACTCATGTTGCCATGAAATGTCCACTCATGGCATGAAAAATAAGGAAAGAAAGAGAAAAGGAAAAGCATTATTTTCTCCTATTGCCATCCTACACTAAAGATAACTGAGACCTGTAAACAAACACAGCATAAATGATTTTTATGTCATGACTTGTTCTGTCACATGAAGCCCTGATACTCTCCGTTAATCCAAATAATCAAACGATAATTTCCAAGCTAAATATTTTTTTGTTGTCGTTTATTTCTCCCCATGGAACAGGACCAGGTGAGGGTCAGGCAGTTCAGTGCAAATGTGGGAGACCTTTCATTGGCAACGGAGCTCTGAACAAAAGATTTCTGCCATTTTATGGACCTAGGGGCTAGGGGAAGGAGAAGGGAAAGGGTTAGCAGTGGATAAGTACTGGATATTGAGTCAGAGTGGAGAAAAAGTGTCTCAAGGCTCCTTGATTAGGTGGCCTCAGCAGAAGAGCCCAAGACAGACCTTGGCCAAGGGCCTGTGTGCCAGTAGGTCTAATTGGGGAGATTTCAGTACTAAAATTAAGTACTCCATTCAGAAATTAAACTTAGGGTTTTACTTCTACACTTCTGATAACCATTAGGATTCTGTTAAAGTTGCCATTTGAAAAACAAAGCTCAGTTGTGTTTGTTATGTTAAGAGTGTTCCCGCATCTGGCTTCTGAAAAAGCTTTATTGGGTTGTTAAAAGTAAATTAGAGCCTATAGATTAACATGTTGTTTCAACTACCTTAACAAGTTCCCCAGCAAGCGCCTAGGTGTTATCGCATTTCTCTCAGCTAAATAAGCAGTTTATTTACATTTTCCTAACTAATGGTCAGTTCTTTATCCAAAGTTTCCAATTAAGATGGCCCAGCTGCAATTATATCACTAAGTTCCATATCACTAAACTTCCGTGTCGAAATTGTTTATACTTTTCATTTAAGAATTATTACTTTAGTTACAATGTATCAAGTATGCGAGATTTGTGTTACACTAGAAACTGGTATAAAGAAAGTTTCACAGTTAATTGCCACCCTTGTAAATCTCACCTCTTTTCTTGCCATTGCTTTGTTGTGAAATTGTTATCTGTACTCACTCTACTTGTTACATATCTCTTTGTTTTGCCTGTAAGGCAAAGCTTACAGTTACAGGCAAACTGACTGCATGCTCTCCCGAGGTTCATTCCTTCAATACATTTTATTTGTTTAAATATCAGATTAGAGTGTTGGTCTAGTGACTTCACGAGGACAGGCCCCTATTCCAGTCTCCCTTGGCAGTGAGAAATTTCCCATATCTGCCATCTGTGCTGAAGTGTCTGACCCTCACCCTGTGGCGCTGGCCCTAGGGGGAAAATGAAACATTGAAGGAGTTAGTGGTTTCTCCCATTTAACCTCTTGCTTGTATTATCGAAGTAAGTGATTAGAGACTTGACTCTTCATTTTAGCTTGTCTTAACTGAGTACTCCGACACCTGGCAGCTCAGTTCAGCTCTCTCTCCAGCTCAGCTCAGCTCCTGACAAAAGTGACAAAAATAGCTGAGAAACTCCTGATGAGGTAGAACATGATTTAGTGGGTATAAAGACTCAATAGTTATAATATTGGGTGTTATTGCACAGAGATGGATACATTTACCAACTGAATTAGATAGAAATCCAAAGACCAGATTTAATTTTTTTGTAGACACTTTAGAAATAAGAAGAGGTGGGATTTCAGATTAGTGAGGAAAAAATAGGCTAGTCAATAACTTTATCAGGATGATTGGTTATCCGCAAGGGAAAATTAAAAGTCCCTAAACGTAAAAGGAGAACTACTAAAACCTTTTAAACGACGAGGTAGGATTTCTTCAGCAAGAAACAAACACACAAACCATGAAAAAAGAGTGTTATTCTATTTCATTAAAAAAAGCATTTTCTTTTTAAACTGTTTTACCACTCCAAGCTTTCTGTATTCTTTCTTCCTTAATTTGGGAAGGAGAAAATATTACTGAACTTCAGTCCAGAACAAAGGAGTACCAAATATATTTTTTCTTGGAGGATAGGCAAGGAATTCTATCTCTCTGGGAGAGGGTGTTTGTTTCTTTTTGTTTTTCTGCTCAGTTGTGACCATTTTCCATGCCAACAATCAAGTGTTGGCACAGTATATTCTTTTTACAAAAATTGCCTTCCTGGTGATAGAAATGTTGTAGTTAATGGGCTACACAGCTCCACAAAATGGTTTAACCATAAAAAAGATACTGCATTTCCCAAGACTGAGAAAGTAATACCTAGTTGGGACCTCAGCATGTGTAGGAAAGGAGTTCGGAATAATTATAATTTTTTACTAGCTTAATTGGCTTGTCTAGGTCATAGTTTCAATATACAAGTTTCTACATGAAAAGTGGGATTACTGTGATTGGTCACAGGAAGAACTCAAAATACTGCATTCTTGTAAAAACGCTCTTTTTCTCATTCTAATTTAGAAAAGAAACTACCTTCTCATTTGCCAATGAAATTTGATAGAGTTTTTTTTTTTAACTTAAAGTAGTCATATTTTTAAAGTGATTTATTTCTACATATAGAAAATATATTTCTAGCAGATATTTTGGATTTGTAAATCAGAATGGATTCAATTTCTTCATTGATTCTTTTGTTCAATTTTTTTCTTCTCTTTCCTTCTTGTTCCTAATTCAGAGTTACAAAAGTGTTAAGATGTCTTTCACTATTTTATACAGTTATTGTGTCAGGAACTAAGAGTTTTCAGTAAAAGAGTTTTAATTATAAACTCAAAGATGTTCGGTAAAAATCCCTTTAACTTAGGAGAATGAAGAAAACCAGAGACACAAGAGAGATCAGTCCAAAGAACTAATGGACCACAACTACCACAGCCTCCACCAGACTGAGTCCAGCACAAGTAGATGGTGCCCAGCTACCACCACTGACTGCTCTGACAAGGATCACAATAGAAGGTCCCAGACAGAGCTGGAGAAAAATGTAGAACAAAATTCTAACTCCCAAAAAAAGACCAGACTTACTGACCTGACAGAGCCTGAAGAAACCCTGAGAGTATGGCCCCCAGACTCCCTTTTAGCTCAGTAATGTAGTCACTCCTGAGTTTAACCCTTCAACCAAAGGTTAAACAGGCCCATATAACAAAATGAAATTAAATGGGCACACCAGCCCAGGGGCAAGGACCAGAAGGCAGGAGGGGACCGGAAAGCTGGTAATAGGGAACCCAGGGTCGAGAAGAGGAGAGTGTTGATATGTCGTGGGGTTGGCAACCAATGGCACAAAACAGTATGTGTACTAACTGTTTAATGAGAAGCTAGTATGTTCTGTAAACCTTCACCTAAAGTACAATAAAAAAAAAATCCCTTTAACTTAAATTTGAGTGGGAAATATCAGTATGATCTTAAATTTGTTATTTTTCTTTTTAGAAAACAAAACTTTTTCTTTTTTTCCTAGAACTTTTCACAGAAAATGTTTACAGGAAATGACAATCCATGAACAATGAGAATTCCAGTCACCTAGATTATAGTCTCTTGATGCCTTCTCCAAAGAGCAAACATAGCAACTTGGAAACTTGGATACATGCTACATATTAAATAGATTTAAGAAACATAACCAAATGCCATGTGTGGATCTGATGAGATCCTTATTCAGCTAAAATCATAGTAAAAAAATATTTGAGGAAATTGGGGATTTTTTTTTTTTTTAAAGGACTAGGTATTGGATGATGTTACAAATAATTTTTTAAATTATCTTAGGAGGGAAAATAGTATTGTGTTTTCTTTAAGTCCATATCAGTTAGGATGCTTGTTAAAATATTCATGATTGAAATAACATGCTTTGGATTTCTTTACCACTCCCCCCACATGTGGGTGTTGATAATAAATGAAGCAAAATGGGCAAGACGTTGGTAATTGTTGAAGTATTTGTGATGGGTGCTTGGAGGTACATTATCGACGTGACTGCAATGGGTTTGGTTCCGGTCATTATTTCCACCTCTTCCCCAAATTTTAAAAATAAAGCTGGCTCAATTAATGAACATATTTCTTACTTGGTCAACAAAGGGACCACACTGAGAGAAATCAAGTGTCAGTGGAGAGAAATTCTGGCAACTGTTACTGTACTAAGGAAAGACCAGAAGAGAGGCAGGCACAGGGAAGAGCTCACAGGATCTCTCCCCTCCCTCCATCAGCAGGTAAGTTAAGAAACACTATCTCCATCTTGTGGCCATTTAGGATAATGTAGTTAAAACATTTTTTGTTTGTTTTGGTTTAAAGTTTAATCAGGTATTTCGACTCTAAGGTATAATTACTGTATGTATAAAGAATACAGTAAGCACCCAACCTAGTAACCCACTGCCCAGTTCCCCCATTTACTAGAAAGAACCATATTGGTTTCCTGTATATCTATCTGGAATTTCTTTATACAAACACAATACATATATGTGGTGTCTCTTTGTACCCCTTAAAATCAAATGACCAATGGTTGAATGTTCCTCACATGACTGTGTCCATTGCTTTTCTCACTATCTTGGAACTCTTTCCTGTTAGTAAATAGAGTGGCTAAAATTGGTGACCCAAGGAGAGAAACAATGCCAAACCTGCTGCTAGATTGGAAACCTCACCATGGCTATAGGAAGATGCTTAAGTGTGGACCTGTCTTCGGAGCTGCCCAAGAGCTGAGCAGGTCAGGGTGGCTCTGGGATGGCTGAATTCCTGCTCTTTTCCTGGAGAGGGACCTCTACTCTTTGTAAGGAGAGACATTGGTGTCCAAACCTGGAGAATTTGTCTTATCAGTGAAGCTTTCTGTGTCTTCTTGTAGTTGATCCACCCCACCCGCATTTCCTATGATACTAATGACTTTATTTTTCTTCATAATATGTATTAAGATCCGACATGCTGTGTACTTTCCTATTCATTTGCTTATGCCTTCACCACTCAGCCTTCCCCACTAGAATATAAGTTCCTTGAGAGCTGGATTTTTTTCCTTCTCTCTATTTTGATCGCTGCTGTATTTTTTAGCTTCTAGAGTGGTGCCTGGCACAGAGTAGGTGGAAAAAATATATATATATCTATATCTGAAGAAACAAATGAATGAATATTCTTCTACCTTGCAGCTGCCAACTGGGAGACCCTCAAAGAACTTCCTTTACTTCCTTTGGTGGATGATCTAGAAGACCAGAGACAAATTGTCATCCTTTATGGCCATTGTCCTTTGAGTACTCCTTCTGGCAGGTTCTCAAATTTCACTCCCCCCCAAAAAACTTTGGTTTTGTTAAAATTTGCATTTCTTCTTTTCCCTGAAAGTTTTTCATGAATTATTATTGGTACATATAGTATTTTATTTTCTTATGTACCAAATAAAGCAGTTGATATGTTGTGTCACTTGAAGATAGACTTGCCTTCTCTGAAGCTCCAAGTCAGAATCTTTCGATTAAGAAAGATGTGCTGCCTGGTCAGCTTCAGGGGTTGTGTGTTTCATGAGAAATCATTCTTAGTCCATTTCACTACAAAGAGAAACATTGGCTTCTAAGGACTTCTCCATATGAGCTAACAAGCTACCCCTGTGCTTGGCAGGACCCAAAACTCAGGGACCATGTTGTCCATTCTATTCTGGGCTCACTCAGTGGGAGGGCCCTTTGGACTTGTAAACCCAAAAAAAAAAAAAAAAAACAAACCCATTGCTGTTGAGTCAATTCTGACTCACGTTGACTTGTGGGAAGGGACAATTGTGCTTGTCTTTTGGCTGGTCTTTTCCCCTCTTCTCTTCCAATTATCTGGATCTTTCTGCCTTCAGAAACATCCACAGTCTCCTCTATGGCCATAGTACTGAGTAGGCAATCTAGTCCAACTAGTGAATGGCTGCCAAAACTGTGTCCAGCCAAAACTTAAATAAACTTAACTTAAATCTGCATTTGTGACAATATGGCTTGAGATATTCCTCTTCAAAATACTACCAAAAGCACCTCATAGTAGTAACTGCTATTCAGGGCAATGTGTCAGACACGATAAAAAGTGAAATCACTCACGTTGTTTTATTTAATCCAATTTAATTTTTCCACAAACATAGATATCATTATCTTCATTTTAAAGATGAAGCTGAGACTCACAGGAGAAAAATAACTTCCTAAAATCACATGGCTGGTAAGTGGTACAAATCTAGTACTGGAAAGCAGATTTTTACTCCAAAATATGTGTAAACTTTACTCCATCTCAGCTCATGTTTCCTCTATCATTCCTTCTCTATATATGCTCACCATATTTACAGATGTGTGGACTGCTTCATCCATTAAATAGACATCCCCATCTCCAATGACTTGCCAAATCTTGCATATTGTTTCTGCACATCCTCTTTCTTTTCATTTATTCCTTCATTCATTCATGGTACATAACATTGTGGAGGAAATGCTGTGTCACATGTATGTCACAGCTGACTTCAGAGGCTGATGGAGGAATGTGGCCCAATACCTGGGGCCCTTCCCTGTTTGAATAGCTCCTGGTTTCTCCACCTCTAGTATCACCATCTTCCATCCTTCTTGACCGTCCACAGTTAAAGACATATACGTCAAAGCTCAGTTTGATAATGTAACTCTTTTGCTCAGAGTTCTTCAAAAGATCTTCAATATACTTAATTAATCTGTATTTCTAACCATTACTCTTCATCTACACTTTTCCAGTTTACTTTGAAAAAATCACTTCTACTCCCTGGACACTCTTTTAACTCAGTACTGAAGTCACTCCTGAGGTTCACACTTCAGCCAAAGATTAGACAGACCCATAAAACAAAACAAGACTAAATGGGCACACTAGCCCAGGGGCAAGGGCAAGAAGGCAGAAGGGGACAGGAAAGCTGGTAATGGGGAATCCAAGGTCAGGAAGTGGCGAGTGTTGACATGTCCTGAGTTTGGCAACCAATGTTACAAAACAGTATGTATATTATTTGTTTAATGAGAAACTAATTTGCTCTGTAAACCTTCATCTAAAGTATAATTCAAAAAAAAGAAAAGGAAGACCCTCGACAAGGTGGATTGATACAGTGGCTGCAACAATGGGCTCAAACATAACTAACAATGATTGTGAAGATGGCACAGGATCAAGCAGTGTTTGGTTCGGTTGTACATAGGGTCGCTGAGAGTCAAAACTGACTCTACAGCACCTAACAACAACAACATATATATATATATATGTGTGTGTATAACCAAAACCAATCCATCTGCCATGGATTCCAACTCATAGCAACCCTATAGGACAGAGTAGAACTGCCCCATAAGATTTCCAAGGCTGTTATCTTTACAGAGGCAGACTGCCACATCTTTCTCCCATGAAACAGCTGGTGGATTAGAACTGCTGACCTTTAAGTTAGCAGCTGAGCATTGACCACTGTACAACTAGGGCCCCTGTATATGTGTATAAGTATGTATATGTGTGTGTGTATATATATATATAGGTGTATGCGTATGTATATGCATCTATATGAATGTATGCACATATATTCAAGTATGTAGGAGGCACAGTTACAGATACTTCTTATACATAACCAAACACCTTGCAGGGTTAGATTTCTAGGTTTGAAGGATTAGGACCATAGTCTCGTGGGACATCTAGGTCAATTGGCATAACATAGTTCATAAAGTTATGTTCTACATCCTAGTTTGGTGAGTAGTGCCTCGGGTCTTAAAAACTTGCCAGTAACCCTCTAAGCTGCAAACTATTGGTATCTATTTATCTGGCGCAAAAAAGAAAGCAGAAAACCAAAGACTCAAAAAAGAAACTAGTCTACAGGACTAACAGTCTACATTAACCACTACCTCATCTACCCTAAGACCAGAACAATTAGATGGTGCCCCGCTACCACTACCGACCATTCTAATCAGAGCCACAATAGATGGACCCTGATGATAGAATGGGAGAAAAATGTGGAACAGAACCTCAGATTCCTAAAAAAACAAACAAAAAACAGACCTACTGGACTGGTTGAGACTGGAGAACTCTCCAAGACTATTGCCCTGAGATACCCTTTAAACTTTGAACTGAAACTAACCCCTGGGGTCACCTTGTAGCTAAATAACAGATTGGCTCACAAAACAATTGAGTATCACACATAGAAGTACTGTGCTCCTTTAAAAAATCACCTATATGAGACCAAATGATCAACAATTACTTTAAAAACAAAGATGAGAATATAAGGGGGCTGGGAAACTGGATTAATGGAAATGGAACAACCAGAACAGAAATAATGAGAACGATCACACATTGTGAAGAATATTACCAATGTCACTGGACAACTTGTTTAGAAATTGTTGAGTGGGAACCTAGGCTGCTGTGTAAACCTTCACCGAAAACACAATAAAATATTACTATTAAAAAAAAAAAATCACTCCTACCCTGAGTGTTCCACACTCAGTTAAACAGGCTCTTGTTCTTTTTTATAGAGAAATTCCCACTTCTATACCTGTCCCCCTACTCTCTATTCCCTCTTAAATTTCATCCTTCAATACCCATTCTTGATTCCTTCCATCTGATAACATTACTTTTCTCTAAACCCCCAGAGCTCTCTATTTAAACTTGTTTTTCATTTGTTTGCTTTTCTGCCATGTACTATGATAGTGTGGCTGTTTTTCTCAACACCTCCATCTTCTCAAGAGCAGTGACCATGATATGCACTAACACATTGTCACACCTAGAATGTACACTTCAGAATTTGTTGATTGTTGTGGACAGAGTGGGAAGAGCTGGGTTTTTCTCAAGGATCAGTGCTTAGAACAACCTTCTATAGATTTCAGGATAGGAATTGAAAAACAAACAATTTGTATGAAACTTGCGTTTTCCACAAGCGGTAGCCTCCTCTGCTCAGGCCTTGGCAATGTCTTTTACCAAGGAGTTTTGTCTTGGTATGTTTCCCGCTCAAAATGAAATGTGATTTTTCACTTGCAAAATCTGAAATTCTACTGGCATGCTCTTAAATATTGTCCATATTATGCATATCAAATAAATTAATTTTTAGAACAGTAAGTGGGATTGTGGCTTTGTTTTTCATTCTACTTGTCTGGTAAGCAAAAGGTCTTGGATTCAAATTCTTACAGAATTTTAGTTTTGCATTGTCTAGTTCTCCCTGATGCTCATTTCTCGCCAAAAAATTGTCACCACTTAGATAAAGCCTCATTTGCTTCATCTGGTAGGTTCTGCACCTGACCTACCAGTACTTAGATAATCTAAAGTAAATATAATGGCATATTTTGTGTTTTATAACAATACATAAGACCAATAATAGGGTAGGTCAATAGTTTCATCATTATGTTTAGGCTTTCCAGCAACATTTGAGTCAAATACCATTAAAAATATTTTTATTAATATACTCAGAAAAAGATGGTCATTTTATGTAAAAAATTAGCAAATTAGGGATTGTTAAAGTCATAATATATTTGGATTTATGTTTAAATTAACTATGCTACAAAGTTAATACTATAGTTTATAGATTTAAATTCTAAAGTTTATTTTGTTGCAATTAAAAATAATGCATGGTAAATATTTCATTGAGTCACGATGGCCTGAGAATTGTTAACCATTTAAAATTCAATGCCCTTGCTTATTTTTCAGTGGTTTTCAGAGTTTTTTTTTTTTTTTTGTGCTATCATGAATATAAACTCTGAATGTTTTTGTATAATTTTTTTGGTAGGCATATACATATTTTTGGGGCATAAAGTAGGAGTGGAATTGACAGTTTGTAAGGTGGCCACACGTTTAATTTTTAGTAAACACTGACAAATACTTTTCCAAAGTGGCTAAACCAAACTCCTGCGAGCAATGTAAAACAGTCTTGTTTTATATCTTTCTCTTATTTTGTCAATTGTTTTGCCTTTCTGGAAGGATGTGTAATGATATCTCACTTTTATTTTAATTTTCAGATCCCCGATGAGTAGTGATGTATACTTCTTCCGCATGCTTACTGGACATTGAATATCATTTAGTGGAAAATGCTGTTTATGTCTTTGCATTTTCATTGGGTTATTTGTAAGAGGTTTTTCCACGTGGATATTTCCGTATGGACATATCATCAACCCAAAACAATTTATTGGAAAGACAACCCTTTGTCCACTGCACCTTTGTCATAAATCAGGTGTCTATACATGCGTGGGTGTATTTCTGGTTGTCTATTCTGTTCCTTCCATCTTTCGTTTTGCCTAATCTTGGAGCAACACCAATCAACCATATACTATAGCTTAAAATAAGGATTGATTGTGTAAATCCTCCAACCTTGTTATTTTTGGTTGCTTCTGCATTTTTATATAAGTTTTAGAACTGGGAAGAAATACTTCCTAACTCAGTGACTGACAAAGTATGGCCCACAAGCCAAATCTGGCCCATTATCTGATTTGAAAATAAAGTTACTGGGTCACAGCCACCCTCACTGATTTACACATTTTCTGTTACTACTTTTCTACTACAATAACAGAATTGAGTAGTTGTGACAGAGACCCTATGGCCTGTAGAGCTTTCGCTATCTGGCCTCTCACAGAAAACATTTGCCAACCTGTCCAAACTCATTCTATGAGGCTAGCATCATTTTGATGCTAAAATCAGACAAATACATTACAAACAAACAAAACTACTGACCAGTATCTCTCATGAACATAGGTACAAAAGTTCTAAACAAAATTTTAGAAAATCAAATTCAACAATATATTAAAAGAATGGTACATCATGATCAAGTATTCCTGGCTTATCCCAAAAATGCAGGGTTTGTTTAACATTTGAAAATCAATCAATGCAATACCATATTAACAAACTAAAAAGAAAAACTATATGATCATAGATACAGAAAATACATTTGACAAAGTCCAACATCAATTCCTGAAAAAAAAATCAATTCTTGATAAAAGGAGAACTATGAAAAACCTGCAACTAACATCATACTTAAAAAAGGGGAAAGATTGAGTGTTTTCCCCCTAGATCATGAAAAAGACTTTTATGTCTACTCGCAGCACTTGTATTCAATACTGTACTGAAAATTCTAGCCAGTGCAATCAGGCAAAAAAAAAAAAAACAGTCCTCCAGATTGGAAAAAACACACTATCTTTATTCTCAAATGATAGAACATGTCACAAAAAGTCATACACAAGAATGTGTATCCATAATACCTTCAAAGAGTAAACAATCCATGTGCATGAACAGTAGAAAGGTAATTAAGTGGAGGTATATTTTAACAATGGAATTCTATAGAGCAAACAAAATGAATAAAATAATTCTACATGGGTAAATCTCAGTATAGCAAAAGAAGTCAGCTTGCATATAACTTGTTTCAATAATATTTTATTGTGTTTTAAGTGAAAGTTTACCCAACATTTTAGGTTCCCCTTTAACAATTTTTATACAAATTGTTTTGTGCCATTCATTACAATTTTTACAATGTGTCAGCATTCTCATTGTTTCCATTCTGTTTGTTCTGTTTCCATTGATCTAGCTTCCCTTCCCCTCCTTGCCTTCTCATCTGCTTTTGGGTAACTGTTGAGCTTTTAGGTCTCATATAGTTAATTGTTTAAGGGAGCTCATTACTCAACAGTGATATAAGCCAATCTATTATTTGGCTGAAAGGTGACCTGCAGAAATACCTTCAATTCCAAGTTCAAAGGTTCTCTTAAGGTAATAGTCTCATGGGTTCCTCTAGTCTCTATCAGTCCAGTAGGTCTGGCCTCTTTTAGGAATTCAAGTTTTGTTCTACATTGTTCTCCCATTTTATCCAGGATCTCCTATTGTGTCGCTGGTCAGAATGGTCAGTAGTGGTAGCCAGGCACCATCTTGCATATAATTCTTAATGTATAACTATTTAGTGTATGAAATTGAACAAAGGCAAAACTAATCCATGGTGATACAAGTCAAGATAATGGTTACATTTGGGGATGAGGAAGCTAGAGAGGGTGGGGGATTGTGGGACCAAATATTTCTGGTAAAATACAATGGTCTAAGTCTTATTCTAGGTAATTTGCAGTAGTGGTGTCACTTTGTCATGACTCATCCATAAGTATAATTATGATAGTGTAATGTTCTTAATGTAAATTACGTGTCATTAGAAACAGATGTAAAGACCTCTTTCAGTAGTGAATATAATGCCTTTCAGCTTCTCAAGCACAGAGATTTTGTCTTGTTTACTACTGTGTCTCCAATGCCCAGTCCACAAAAGATTCCCAAAATAAATATTCATTGATGAAATAAGCTAGAGTTTGACATCATTTCTGTGTGATAACTAGCAATTTATATAGATAATCTTGGACATGGTAAGTTCTAAATAATTATCCCAATTTGGGCAGGTTTCTTTCTGCTCTAAATCTGGGTTCCATCATTTGCCAAATAAAGCTGCTTGAATCAGAAGATGGTCTCTAATATCGCTTTTAGCTCTGCTGTTTAATTATTACATGATAAACTCAGAGCTGAAGTATTGTCTTAGTTATCTAGTGCTGCTGTAACAGAAATATCACAAAGTGGGTAGTTTTAACTAACAGAAATTTATTTTCTACAGTTAGGAGGCTAAAAGTTTGAATTTCGGGCACCAGCTCTGGGGAAGGGACTCTTTTGGTTTTTCTTCGTAGGTTCCTTGATCACCGGTGGCATCAATCTTTGTCCGTTTGTGCTTGTTTGCTTCTGTACCTAATCTTTTTTTATATCTCAGAAGTGATTGGCTTAAAACACACCCTACACTGATGGCCTCATTAACATAAAAGAGAAAACCCTATTCCCAAATGGGATTACATCCACAAGTTTAAGGATTAACAACACATAATTTTGGAGGACACAGTGTAATCCATAAAAGTATACGATGCCATGATTTCTCACTGATTTGATAAAAGATCAATGATAAATACCAACATACTCTGGAGCTCTTCCCTAAAACAGGCACAATTTGGGCATTTATATTTGTCACTATGATGCTGTGAGGCTGGGGTTAATATAGCCATCGCAGCAGGTGAGGATATTTGAGTCTTACAAAGATTGTCACCCATTCATCCAGAGAACAGAATTAACAGAGCTGGATTTGAACATGGGTAAATCTAGATCAAGACTCCCTGTTCTAGACTTCCACTGTCCAATTCTATAGCCACAAATGGGTATTGAGTCCTTCCCTCATTATAATTGAGAAGTGCTGTAAGTATAAAATGTACAGCTGATTTCAAAGATCTAGTATAAAAAAGATGTAAAATATCTCTTCAATAATTCATAAAATGTAACTGCTGAAATTACAATATTTTGGATATGTTGGGTTAAGAGAAATGTATTATTAAAATCAATTTCATTTATGTTTTATTTTTCTTAAAAGGCTACCATAAAATCTAAAATTACATAGTTGGCTTGCATTATATTTGAATTACATAATGCTGCTAGGAGCACCTTGCTAGTTAGGAGTTTGCGGGATGAGGGATTGAGAAAAGTCTATACCAATTCTATGACCTCAGAAAGACACATTACCTCACACAGGGTGGAACTCCCCAGAACAATCAGTAGCTATATGTTCTGGGTTTCACGGGAACAGTCAAGATCTCTCCACTTTGCTTGCCACAGCAGAGTAAAATGTGAATGAATAGGAGAGACGGAGATGGGAGGTTCTACTCACCACAGAAGTGTACCCTCCCAGGGCAAATTCTCAGACCCATGTTCTGTGATGGCTCCAACTCTCTGATGAGGCCAACCAAATTGCTCAGATTTCCTTCTTCCAGGACAACTGAAAGCACTCTGGGCAGATGAAAAGCTTTCTGTCAGTTTCTATCACCAAGGAGGCAAGGCACCATAGACAGACACTGTGTCCACATATCATACAGTAGATTCCTCTAATGGTCAATGCTTTCCAGAGTTCAGCCATGGATGCTGCAGAGGAGAAACACACAGCAGGGAAGGTTACGCTATCACAAAAGACCGAGTGCCCCTTTGCAGTCAGGGATTCTTTCATTCCTTTGTAGATCGTTTGGTGCACATTATGTGGCAGAACAGGAGCTTGGTGCTTACACCAAAGTACAGGAGGAAAAAAGCTAACGGGTGACTACAAGTGAAATGATTCATATCCTTTGAGTGAAGGCAGGATCTCTCTTTTTTTTCTAACCTGCTTTGAAAAAGGGTCAGTTATGTGAATGATGAATAAACTAGCCTATAGAAAGTATTATTAAACTGTTGGGGAAATTTGAGCTAGACTGGGCATTGAACAATACTGAAGAATTATTGCTAATTATGCTAGATGTAATCATACATAATGTTCTTATCCATTAGAGATACAGTAGAAATATCTCAAAGATTAACATGAAGTATGGGTTTTCTTTATTGCCAAAATATTGATAACTATTTGAAGCTGGGTAACTGGCACATAGGGACTCATGGATTCTTTATTCTTTCTACTTTTGTGTATGTTGGACATTTCCATCATAGAAAATTAAACAGAATGATAAGGCACCACACCACTAAAAGGAGCAACATTGCAAAGAATGACAATACAATGTGGAGATGAGGTTGTGGACCAATGGAGAAACTCAGTTGTTGCTGGTGGAATGTAAACTGACGGAAACACTTTAGAAAAAAAGTGGCATCCTTTTACTAAATGTAAGCATACCCAGAAGAAATGTGTACATGTATACATCAGAAAAGAAGCCTTGGTAGCTCAATGATTAAAGCACTCAGCTGCTAACCAAAAGGTTGGTGTTTCAAATCCACCAGCTGCTCCATGGGAGAAAGATGCAGCAGTCTGCTTCTGTAAAGATTTACAGCCTTGGAAACCCTATGGGGCAGTTCTACTCTGTCCTATAGGGTCACTATGAGTCGGAATCAATGAGAGTGATTTTGAGTATTGTTATGGATTGAATTGTGTCCCCCCAGTTTGTGTCAGCTTGGCTAGGCTATAATTCCCAGTATTGTGTGATTGTCCACCATTTAGTCATCTGATGTAATTCTCCTATGTGTTGTAAATCCTACCTCTATGATGTTGATGAGGCAGGATTAGAAGCAGTTATGTTAATAAGGCAGGACTCAATCTACAAGATTAGGTTGTATTTTAAGTCAATCTCTTTTGAAATATAAAAGAGAGAAGTGAGCAGAGGGATGGGGGATTCCATACCACCAAGAAAACAAGAGCCAGGAGAATAGCACGTCCTTTGGACCCTGGGTCCCTGCGCTTAGAAGCTACTCGAACAAGGAAGATTGATGACAAGGACCTTCCCCCAGAGCTGACAGAGAGAGAAAGCCTTCCCCTGGATTTGGCATCCTGAATTTGGACTTCTAGCCTCCTAGACTGTGAGAGAATAAATTTCTCTTTGTTGAAGCCACCCACTTATGGTATTTCTGTTATAGCAGCACTAGATGACTAAGACAAGGATACATCAAAAACATAAACAAGAATAGTCTAGGAGTATAATTTCTAATAGTGAAAAAGGGAAACATATATTCATCAACATTATAAAAGCTGTGGTCTGCATCTTCTAAGGTGCCCCCAATGATTCTGAGCTTCAATTATTCATATCTTTGTGTAATCCCATCTTTGTGAGTGTGGGCTAGACTCAGTAAATCACTTCCAATGACTAGAGTACAGCAAAAGTGTTGGAATGTTACTTTCAAATTAGGTTATAAAAGACAGTGACTTTTGTCTTACATTCTTTTTAGTTCTTCTTCCTTACTTGCTCTGATGAAGCAAGCCCCCATAGGAACAGTCTTGTGGAGAGTTCCACATGGCTAAGAACTAGAATGGCCTCCAGACAGCAGTTGATGAGGACATAGGTCTTCAGTCCAACTGCCTGGGGAAATGAACTCTCCCAACAACCATGGAAGCTGATCCTTTCCCAGTCTAGCCTTGAGATGAGTGAAGCCCCTGCTAACATCTTAGTTGCAGGCTTGTGAGAGACCTTGAGCCAGAGGAGCCATCAAAGCCCCACCCAGAATCCTGACCCACAGAAATTGGAAGGTAATAAAGTTTTGGGGTAATTTGTTATGCATCAATAGAGAACTAATATAAAGGACAAATAATTGTGGTATATTCATACTTGAAATATTATACAAAAATGGAAATAAGCTATAGTGAT